TATACTGGCTAAGATTCAGTAGAAATTGGTGGAGAGAAACAAAGGCAAATACAATAGAGTTCCACAACAATTCAGACCCTATACACCAGCCAAGATGACACCAAGCCCCAAGCTCAATCCAGTACCCTATGGAAAGACAGACAACTTAGGGACTACAGAAAAGCAAATGGCTTAGCTTTAGTTGTGGTGAGAAATTTGTTCCTGGACATTTGGAGGTATGTACCAAAAGAAACAAACCTCAGGCACATGCTCTTGCTCTCAATGACTTGGATAGGGAACTTTCTGATGAAGTTCTCAATGACTTGGCAATAGAGGATCCATTACAGGAAGAATTTGGTCAATTGTCACTCAATGCACTTTCTAGTCAAGATCATACTAACTATATCAAACTCAAGACAAGAGTCAAAGATAAAGTGATGCTTATCCTGGTTGATAGTGGTAGTACCCACAGTTTCATCAGTTCTCAGTTTGTACAGTTAGCAAACCTCAACACTATGCCTATAACACCAAAGAAAGTCAAGGTAGCAAATGGAGACTGGATTGTTACTGATAGGGTAGTACCTCAACTGCAGTGTTACTGTCAAGGCCAAACATTTGCAGTTGATATGGTGGTATTAGACATGAACCCATATGATGCAATCCTAGAATTTGATTGGCTACAGGCTCACAGTCCTATGAAATGTGACTGCAAAAACAAAACAATCAAATTTTCAGAGAAAGGGAGAATGATCCAACTTCAAGGGTTGCAAGATCCACCTTTGCAACTATCTGTTATATCAACACAGAAGACCTACAATGCTACCAAAGGCAATGATATCTGGGCATTTGTGTTGTTAGATCATGCACCACCACCATCTCTAACACCTACAGCAGTCACCACTCTACCACCAGATATCACAAAGTTGTTACAGTCCTACAGTGATGTCTTCCATGATCCTAAGGTCTTACCACCACAGCGTACTTATGATCATGCAATTCCCCTGTTACTAGGGGCAGTCCCAATCAACTCTAGACCATACCATTATTCACCTCTGCATAAGACTGAAATAGAAAATCAAGTTCAGCAGTTATTGCAAGCAGGACTCATTACTCACAGTCACAGTCCTTTTGCATCACCAGTTCTCTTAGTGAAAAAAAGATGGATCTTGCAGATTCTGTGTGGATTATAGAAAGTTGAATGACATCACTATTAAAAACAGATTTCCAATGCCTGTGATTGAAGAAATTTTGGATGAGTTGGCAGGTGCCCAATATTTCACCAAGTTGGATCTGAGATTAGGTTATCATCCAGTGAGGATGCTACCTGAAGATGAGTACAAAACAGCTTTCAAGACTCATCACGGGCATTATCAATTCAAAGTAATGCCCTTCGGTTTGACTAATGCTCCAGCAACTTTTCAATGTGTAATGAATCAGATTCTCCAACCTTATCTCAGAAAATATGTTCTAGTCTTTTTAGATGACATACTCATCTACAGCAAATCATTGGAGGACCATCAGCAACATCTACAACAAGTCTTGGAAACTTTAAGGAAACACCAGCTGTATCTCAAGGAATCTAAATGCACTTTTGCCCAGTCCAGCCTTGAGTACTTAGGCCATGTTATATCTGCACAGGGAGTGTCCACTGCCCCAGACAAGATCAAGGCAATGCTTCATTGGCCAGTGCCTGCTACAATGACTGACTTGAGGGCCTTTTTGGGGTTAACTGGCTATTACAGAAAATTTGTGAAACATTATAGACAAAACACTAAACCCTTGATAGATATTTTAAGACTGAAACATTTCCTGTGGACTCCTTCAGCTCAAGCTGCTTTTGACAACTTAATGATAGCCATGACAACAACTCCAGTACTTGCACTGCCAGACTTCCAGGAAACATTCACTGTCGAGACTGATGCATGTCAAGATGGCATAGGAGCAGTATTGATGCAAAAAGGTCAGCCCATAGCCTATCTCAGCAAAGCTCTTGGGGAGAAACACAAAAACCTGTCCATCTATGAAAAGGAATTCTTAGCATTGATCATGGCAGTTGAAAGATGGAGGCATTATCTTCAAAGAAAGGAGTTTATCATCCAAACTGACCATAAGTCTCTGGCATATCTCAATGAACAGAATTTGCATTCAGACATGCAGAGAAAAGCAATGGCCAGACTAATGGGGTTGCACTTTAAAATCATATATAGGAAGGGCAAAGAGAATGTAGCAGCTGATGCTTTATCGAGGGTAGGTCACATGATGGCTGTCCAGGCAGTTTCTTGTGTTCAACCTACCTAGATCCAAGAGGTACTCAACTCTTACACAACTGATTCTCAAGCACAGCAAATCCTGCAGAGGCTGTCTATTGTCAGTCCAGATCAACAAGGATACAGTCTCCACCAAGGTCTTATATGGCACCACGGCAAGATTTGGATCGGGCAGAATTCTGCTTTGCAAACCAAAATCATTGCTGCCTGCCACTCTAGTGCTCTGGGAGGTCATTCTGGCATTGCAGCCACCTATTCCAGAATGAAGAAACACTTTCCTTGGAAAGGGATGAAAATGGATGTGGAAAATTTTGTTAAACAGTGCAATATCTGTCAGCATGCCACATGCCAAACATTCTCTTCAACACCCAATGGGTCTTCTGCAACCACTACCAATACCAGGAGGAGTATGGCAAGATCTCACTATGGATTTCATTGAGGGCCTTCCCAAGTCAGAAGGATATAGTGTGATTTGGGTAGTGGTGGACAGGTTGACTAAGTATGCTCACTTCTTACCTATCAGACATCCTTATACTGTTGTAATGGTTGCTCAAACCTTCCTAGATACTGTGGTTAAGCTACATGGACTGCCAGCTTCTATTGTGATAGATCGAGATACTATTTTTGTTAGTCATTTCTGGAAGGAACTGTTCAAGTTGTATAGAGTGAATCTGCAGTTAAGCACAGCTTACCATCTTCAAACCGATGGACAATCAGAAAGAGTGAATCAATGCTTGGAGACGTATCTCAAGTGTGCTGTCCACAATTCACCTAAGTCTTGGAAATCATGGTTGCCATTAGCTGAACTGTGGTATAATTCTTCTCTACACACTGCTATCGGTTGCTCTCCATTCAAGGCATTATATGGTTATGAGCCTAACCTGGGTGCAATACCGTCTATACCATCAGACACATCTCCTCCGGTAGCAGAAATTATTGAGCACCGAGAACAACATTTGCAATCACTAAAGCACAATCTGGCAAGAGCATAAAACCGAATGAAGCTGTTAGCAGACAAGAAACGTAAGGATTTCACTTTCTCTGTGGGAGATCAAGTATTGCTCAAACTTCAACCTTATACTCAATCAACTGTGGCCAGCAGGCCTTACCCCAAGTTGGCTTTCAAGTACTTTGGCCCTTACACAATACTCGAAAGAGTGGGATCAGTCGCTTATCGTTTGCAGCTACCTGAAGACTCTCTGATTCACCCCGTCTTTCACATTTCCCAGTTAAAACCCTTCTCTGCAGATTATACTCCGGTGTATGATTCTTTACCAGTCATCATTGATCTGGAGGCCGCTGACACGGTGCCGAAAGCAATCATTGACCGTCGCCTTGTCAAGAAGGGAAACACTGTGATACCGCAGGTGAAACTGACATGGGTGGGATTACCAGCTAGTGCAACAACATGGGAAGACTACAATGTTGTTAAGCAACGTTTCCCTAATGCACCAGCTTGGGGGCAAGCTGGAACTCAGGCGGAGGGAAGTGTCACACCGGCTGGTGTTGCCACGAACAGTGAAGAACGCTAAAGGAAGAAGCCTCTTGGAGAAGACGTATCCCGTGTGGCTTAGCGTATTTATGTATTACGTTTTCTTTCATGAACTGTCGTGTGGGACCATGTGGTTGGAGACTGTAACAAGCACATAAGTGCTGAACCCTGTACAGGGAAAGACATTGCGAATCCTATTATCAGAAAGCTAAGGCAGAGGGGTTAACCCTGCCCGCTTCTTCGTATCTGTGTCTGTCTCGATCGCTCACGTCGACGGCGACTCGCCGGCGGCCAGGGGTGTGACAGCCGAGCGCAGAGCCAAGGATGTCGCTGAAGACCCTGGCGACTAAGATGAAGCCCGATGGCACGACCTCGCCGTGCATGGAAGTCGATTCAATTTTTTTTTCTGTTTGTTTTGTGTTCTGTTTCAGCGCGATTCCATTGATTTTTCGTATGTTTGGATAGCTGGATTTGACTGTTAGCTTGATTAGGATTGGATTTGGGGATACACAGTCTATTACCATTCGATTGATGCTTGTTTATGGTTCAATTTCATTATTGGAGGTCTATTATTGTGGGACCTTTTCAGGTTTGGGGGATTGTTTTCATATGTCGTCGTCGTTGGCTATTTGGCTGGCGAGCTGGCGAGCCAGCTCGAGCTGACAAACGAGCCGAGCAGAGTCAGGCTTCTAGCTCGTTAGTTTAATGAGCCGAGCCGAGCAAGCTCGACAAGAGCCGAGCTGGCTCGTTATCCAGCCCCTTTGTTGTGACGAATGCGATGGTGTCCCCTCCCTGATATTGTTCCACGGGAACCTTTTTTTCTTCAGATGGTCACGGAAAAGTTGTACAACTAGTGACGAGAGGGGTGACCTCACCAAGAAAAGTAGAGCCTCCAAACACGAAAACCGCCAGCGCCCGGCGGTATAAATGTGGAGTGGATCATCGAGTCTCAGTGCCCAACTCAGTGTCTCCTCTCCTCTCTACACACGCGCCCTTTTTACACCATCTTGCGCAAGAATTAGCTTTCAGTTGCATATATGGAAGGAAGCACAGGCAACCAATCTGAGGAGTGAGCATCAAATCTCCTTGGCAGCAGTGCTGCAGTAGTACTATAAGCAATGTCTAATTCATAAGAACAAACAAGAGTGCTATGATAACTTCCAAACAGAGTTATCTGTCATGAATTTCTCTTCTCGAGTATCATATGTAATTTTTGACAGGAAATTTGTGATATTAATGCCATTTTTTTTCTTTGTTACCAGGGTCGCTGTGGTTACAGGAGGGAACAGAGGAATTGGGCTAGAAATATGCAAACAACTGGCTTCTAATGGAATCACTGTAGTGCTGACAGCAAGAGATGAGAAGAGGGGCGCCGAAGCAGTCAGCACGCTTGGGCTATCCAACGTCGTATATCATCAGTTGGAGGTCAGCGATCCATCAAGCGCTGCACGCTTAGCTGATTTTATCAAGGAGAAGTTTGGCAAGCTGGATATATTGGTATGGACGTATGATTTCCCCTTCTTCGTACTGCAATACTCCTATATGTCTAGTTCATACATGTGTAATGTATATGTAGCTTGTGATAAAGATGTGAGTGGTTTTTCAGTAGCTACGGATTCGTGTTGTGACTTCAGCATTCTTTACTGATGGTTGTCGATCGATTTATGCTTTTGCAGGTCAATAATGCAGGAATTACTGGAACGACAAGTAACGTCGGCGACCTAGAAACTTTTCGTCAAGAGGTTCGTTAACCAGTAACTTCTCAGCATGCTCTCCCTCTGCTCCATGTTTAGGAGCAGTTCATATGTAAATGTACCATCAATACTACAATGAATGAAATACAGGTGGGGATTTAAATTCCTCCTCCCTGTTGGCCCACGGGATCACCGTCTGAGGATAGTGAACTAGTCTCCAGATCACTAGTCTCAGACCACTAGTCTCCCAGACCACTAGTCTCCCAGACCAGACCACTAGTCTTCCCAAACCACTAGTCTTCCTAGACCACTAGTCTTCCCAGACCAAACCACTATACCGGTTGTGTCCGTACCCACACACTACAGATCGAGCTAGAAGAAGAAGGGAGAACAGAGCAAGCACGCACAATACAAGACAACAACGTTGGCCGAGGCCCTATCTGTGTGATGGCAAATCTGAGCTCTCTTTACTGAGTTGTCATACATGTCTATTTATACAACTCTAACTATCTAGTCCATGTGCATCGCCCATGCTGACACAGTAACTAGATAACCTGACAGGGCTGACTCTGCGCCGGCCACTGCCTGTTCCTACAGTGCTGCAGGTGAGCCGTGCGGCGCCTGCACCTGCAGCGCCTACTGTATCACAGCAGAGGGCAAAGTCGGCGCCGCATTCCCTTGCTGTGTTCACACACAGCAGGCAGCTAAGTCGGCGCCGCCTTCCTCTGCTGTGTTCACACAAGGTGGCAGTAGATTAGCTAACAATCTTCCCCTAATCCTACTGCTAACCTTTGTACCCCCTCCATGCCGATCATCTCTTTCAGCTCCATGAGTCGAAGTCGTCCGAGCGGCTTGGTGAGGACGTCCGCGAGCTGTCGAGCAGTTTCGATGAACTCGATGACGATCTGCCCTCCATCAACACAGTCCCTGAGGAAGTGGAACTTCACGTCGATGTGTTTACTCCGGTCGTGCAGAACCGGATTCTTCGCGAGGGCGATGGCGGGCTGGTTGTCCACCATCAGTGCTGGTGGGTGAGCTTCCACGCCGGTTAGCTCGCCCAGCAGCCGGCGTAGCCACACAACTTGGCACGCCGCTGTGGCCGTCGCTACGTACTCTGCCTCGCACGTAGATAGCGCTACCACCTTCTGTTTCAGCGACAGCCATGAAATTGGGGCCGACCTGAGGAAGACGAGTACGCCAGAGGTGCTCCGTCGTCCGTCGATGTCCCCCGCCATGTCTGCATCGCTGAACACCATGAGCTGCAGCCTACTTCCCCTGGTTTTTGGGAAGATGATTCCATGATTCACCGTCCCCTTGACGTAGCATAGTAGCCGCTTCACCGCAGCCCAGTGATCCTCTCTGGGATCCTCCATGAAGCGACTGACGTAGCCCACGGCGAATGCAATGTCCGGCCTTGTGTGGACTAGGTAGCGCAAACCGCCGACGATGCTCCGATAGAGTGTTGCATCTACTTTCGCCGCGGTGCTGTCCTTCGTCAGTTTCAGCCGCTCCTCCATCAGAGTCACGCATGGCTTGCACTCCACCATGCCGCTCCTCTCCAACAGCTTGGAGGCATACGCGCTTTGCCCGAGCGTGAGTTCCTCCTTCTCCTGTCTCACCTCGATGCCAAGGTAGTAGGAGAGAGCGCCGAGATCGCTCATTCAAAAATGAGCTGCCATCTCTCGTTTGAAGCTGTTGATATCCTTTGTGCGCACACCGGTGATGATTAAGTCATCCACATACACGCCGACCACGAGTTCTTTCTTCCCCTGTCGTCGCGTGTAGAGCGCGTGCTCGGTTGCGTACATCTGAAACCCAAGCTCGCCCAGCGTGGTGTCAAGCTTGGCGTTCCATGCTCGAGGGGCTTGCCTCAGCCCGTAGAGCGCTTTGCGCAGTCGGAGCACCCTGTGCTCCTCTCCCTTGACAGCAAACCCTGGAGGTTGCCTGACGAAGACCGTTTCCGCCAGCTCGCCGTTGAGGAAGGCCGATTTAACGTCCAAGTGATGGACGCGCCAGTCCTTTGCTGCCGCCAAAGCAAGTAGCAAACGGACCGACTCCATGCGCGCTACTGGTGCAAAGACCTCCTCGAAGTCGATGCCCTCACGCTGAACAAAGCCTCGGGCGACGAGGCATGCCTTGTACTTGACAATGGCGCCGAGCTCATCCCTTTTGACTTTGTACACCCACTTCAGGCTGATCGGACGGCATCCTAGGGGTGGATCAACGAGCTACCAAGTCTCGTTTTCCTCGATCGCCATCATCTCCTCCAGCATTGCCCGTCGCCAGTTTCCATCGCGCTCGGCTAGCGTGAACATGGGTGATTCCTCTGCACTGACGAGTAGTAGCTCTGCGTCGTTGAGCAGCCTACCCGCCAGACCTGAGGGACCTGTGCCGCCAACGATGTCATCCAGACTGCGGAACCTCAACTCCTCACCTTCGTGGTAGGCGTCCATGAACTCAGTGATGTCACTTGAAGGTGAGGTGAACTTGATCGGGGGTGATGAAGTTCCTTCTTTCGCCGAAGTGCCCTGCATAGCACCCAAAGTGCTCGGCACTGCTTCTAGACTGCTCGTCATAACTCCTGCAGTGTTCGGCCACACTGTAGGAGTGCCCAGCCTCAGTCTTGGAGTGGTCGGAACCACAGTAAGACGTCTTGGCTCCGCCACGGGAGTGCTCGGCACCCGTTCTGAAGTGGTCGCCACCACTACAGAACCTCCTGGATCCACTCCTGGCGTGCTCGGCATCCCTCCAGAAGTGCTTGACACTCTTCCCGGAGTGCTCGGCATCCCTCCTGAAGTGCTCGGCACTGCCCCAGAAGTGCTCGACTCTACCGCCGGAGTGCTCGGCGCTCCTCCTGGAGTGCGTGGCACCTGTTCCGCAGCGTCTCCACCACCGTGGATGACCAAGCGCTCGACGACGAAGGTGTTGGTGAAGCCTCCCGCTTCCCCCTTGCTCGGACTGTGCCAGTCCCAAGCTGCCTCCTCGTTGAACACAACGTCGTGCGAGATAGTCACCTTGTCTCCGCGTGGGTCATAGAGCCGGTACGCCTTGGTACCCTCCGTGTAGCCCAGGAACACCATGGGTGTGCTTCTGTCCTCCAGCTTGGTGAGGTTCTGCTTCGTCTTCCTGACATGGCCGATGCAACCGAATGTCCGGAGGAATGACACGTTTGGCTTGCTCCCGTACCAAGCTTCGAACGACGTCTTGCTCGTTAGGGCTTTGGTTGGAGCGCGGTTGAGGATGAACACCGCCGTGGTCACCGCCTATCCCTAGAACTTTGCCGGCATCCCTTTGGCCTTCATCATGGATCGGGCCATGCCGACCACTGTCTGGTTTCGTCGCTCCACCACGTCATTCTGTTTTGGCGAGTACGGCGCGGTGTGATGTTGTCCTACACCTTGATCCGCGCAGTACGTAGCAAACTCCACCGAAGTGAATTCACCACCCCGATCAGTCCTCAGTACACGGAGCTTCTTGCCGTTCTCGGCCTCCGCGCGCGTCTTGAACTTCTTGATCGCCACTGCCGCTTCGTCCTTGCTCGTCAGGAGTTGCAGCCACATGTAGCGACTGCAATCGTCCACAAGTAGGAGGAAGTACCGCCGACCACCGCATGTAGCAGGCGTGATCGGCCCACAGAGGTCGTCGTGAACTAGCTCGAGAGCTTCCTTCGCGTGATACTTGGCCGCCTTTGGGAAAGGTAGCCTCCTCTGCTTCCCGGTCAGGCAGCTGTCACATAGCTCGCCTCCGTGTTTGATGTGGGGTAGCCCTCGGACCATCTTCCCCAGCCGATCAAGCGCGTCGAAGCTGAGATGTCCGAACCGGGCATGCCACATCCACGGTTCCTCGGAGTGCCTTGCCGCCAGGCAAACCGGCTGCTCTACCTTCAGGTCAAGCAGGTACAACCGGTTCAGGGACCTCTTCACCTTGGCAAGAAGTCGCTCCTCCCGGTCTCTGATCCTCAGAACGCCGTCCTTAATCAGAACCTCGCTACCGCGCTCATCCAGCTGACCAATACTGATGATGCTGGAACGCAGCTGCGGGATGTAGTATACATCCGTTAGCGCGCGGTGCTCCCCGTTCTGGCATCTGAAGATGATGGTGCCGTGCCCTTGGATAACCACATTTGAGCCGTCACCAAACTTCACCGTACTGGTAACATCACCGTCGAGCTCGGAGAAGGAGTCCTTGGAGCCCGTCATGTGGTTACTGGCACCAGAGTCCAGATACCACCGCTGCTCCTGGTCGACACCCACATGCCCAAGATGGACTTGGGCGCGTGGTTCGTCGAGGTTGACGGTCTTCAGGGCCTTGCTAGATCCTTCCACCATCGTCGCCTCTTCCCTCTCCATGGCCTCGACGTCGTGCAGTGCACAGAACGTCGTCATAAGGATAGTGGCATCATCCTCATCCTCGGCTTTCGCCAGGTGAGCCTGAGCCTTCTTTTCCTTCTTGCGATTTGGGCACTCCCGTGCCCAATGGCCCATCTTCCCGCAACACCGACAGGTGTTGGAGTCGATTTGCTTCTTCTCCGAAGAAGCCCCGCCGCGATGTTTGCTGTTGCCACCGCGGCTGGAGGAGGCTGCCTTCCCGGAGTTTAGCCGAGCAGCCCACTCCTCTTCAGTCAGCAGGAGTTTCCTGCTGTCCTTCGTTGCTGTCGCCTGCTCCAGGCGCTTGTCCACCGCCCGCAGATGGCCTGCCACATCCTCGATGGTGAGGGTGGACAAGTCCAGCATCGTCTCTATGGAGGGAGCGATCTGGATGTACTTTGCTAGCACGGAGTGGAGGAATTTGGAGACCGCCTCCTCTTCGTCGATGGTGACGTCGTGGCTCTTCAGCTTGCTGATGAGCGTCTGCAGGCGGAGGGAAAAATCCTCTACCGTTTCACCATCCTTGAACTTGAGGTTTGCGTACTCCTGCTTCAGAAGCTGGGCCGTCGCTTTCTTTGCACGGTCGGAACCGACGCACATCGCCGCAATGGCCTCCCACGCCTCCTTAGCTGAGCTCTTCGTCCCCAAGGGTTCCCTATACTCCGCCGGTACAGCAGCGAGGATAGCCTCCAACGCTGACATGTCGTCTTCTTCCACGTCGGTGCCCTTGTCAACAGCATTCCAGAGCCGTCGGGCTCTGAGCTTCACCTTCATGGTCACCGACCACTCTCCATAGTTAGTGCGAGTCAGCGTCGGCCAAGTGGTGCCGCTGACCTCCCGCACCGTGCGAACAACTACCTCCGGTAGTGGCTGGGCAGCTATGACAGTGCCACTGCCATCGCCCAACTCCAAACCGCCTGTCCTCGCCATCGGTTAGAATGACGACGGCGCTTGTACGGCTCTGATACCAATTGTTGGCCCACAGGATCACCGTCTGAGCATAGTGAACTAGTCTCCAGACCACTAGTCTCAGACCATTAGTCTCTCAGACCACTAGTCTCCCAGACCAGACCACTAGTCTCCCAGACCACTAGTCTTCCAGACCAGACCACTAGTCTTCCCAGACCACTAGTCTTCCTAGTCTCCCAGACCACTAGTCTTCCAGACCAGACCACTAGTCTTCCCAGACCACTAGTCTTCCCAGACCAGACCACTATACCGGTTGTGTCCGTACTCACACACTACGGATCGAGCTAGAAGAAGAAGAGAGAACAGAGCAAGCACGCACAATACAAGATAACAACGTTGGCCGAGGCCCTGTCTGTGTGATGGCAAATCTGAGCTCTCTTTACTGAGTTGCCATACATGTCTATTTATACAACTCTAACTATCTAGTCCATGTCTGGCGCCCCATCTTGCACTGAATAACTAGATAACTGATTGTGGCTGACTCTGCTTGGCCTTTGCTGTTCCTCTGATGTTGCATGTGAGCCGTGCTGGCGCCACGCACTGGCGCCCTCATGTATCTGGCAGGGGGCAAAGTCGACGCCGCATTCCCTTGCTTTGTGTTCACACAATGACAGCAGCTAAGTCGGCGCCGTCTTCCTCTCTTTGTGTTCACACAAGGTGGCGATAGATTAGCTAACATCCCCCCCCGACAGTTCAAAAAAGAACTTCTCAACATGCAATCAGAAAGTTTATGTATTACAAAAAAAAAGTTCTAGCAGTAATAGAGACAAATATATTTTGTTGTGTGCAAACAGCTCGCAGGCATGGACGATCTCATGGAGAGGATCCAAACAATCAATAAGCACATCACGGAACCTTATGAGGAAGCAGAGAAGTGCTTGAGTTTCCTCTTCTGCAGTCCTCATCCCATGGAAGGATTGTTAACATGTCATCTTACTATGGACTACTCAGGGTAAATGGCATATTGTTATTATCTTACATGTCATCCTTCAAAATAGAATCAAGTGCAATATTTGTATATGCAAAAGAAAAATAGTTCAGAACACTGCAATTCTGCAAACCAATAACAGTTCCATCCTGCTCCAGTTTTTCAGTGGAGATGAACTTAAAGAGGAGCTCAACAATATCGACAGCTTATCTGAACAAAGAGTGGACGAGTTGTCAGAATTGTTCCTCAAGGACTTCAAGGATGGCCAACTGGAGGCTCGAGGTTGGCCTAAGGAAGGAGGGTTCATTTCGTACAAAGAGTCCAAGGCTCTCGCGAATGCCTATTCCCGGATCCTTGCGAAGGAGCACCCGTCGCTGTGCATCAACTGCGTGCATCCTGGCTACGTCGAGACGGACATGAACTTCCAGGTTGGGCATCTGACGGTCGAGGAGCTCTCATGATGGCTATGGCACCCAAGGGAGGCGTCACTGGTGCGTTCTTGAACCTCGCCGAGGTCGCGCCATTCGTGTAATACACTCTCACCATTATAGTATACTACTGTTGGTGCCTTTCTACGCAACCAAAAAGAGGATACTACTGTTGGTGCCGTGCTACAATTCCTTGCAAGTTCACCTTTCCTTCGGAATTGATCTTACACTTGCGTATGTTATTGTGTGTAAGTGTATTTAGCAATTTAAGGTATGTAAGTATTTTTTTTAATAAAAAATAAGAGTACTAGAAGTTCATGGATTAATGTGGGGCATATTGCTAGTTATAAAAATTACTTGGATTTGCCTTCACTCTTATTTGTCTATTTTGTAAACCAATACTCATACAAGTATTATGTAATTTCTATGCAATTGTTATAGACATTTTTCAGGCGTCCTACATGTGTTTAGTTGAAATACTTCTTAGCTATTGTTCAACTTATATGAAGTATCGGCTTACATAATTGTTTGCCATAAGTATTAACATAATGTAATGTGATCTTTTTGTTGTCATCAAGAAAATAGTTTCATGATTGTTAAATCATGGAAATTTATATGCTCATTGTGTTGTCTAATCAAGTATTCTAGTGTTGGCCTCTCTAAATTTATCCTCAAAGCTCCATCGCTGCTTGCACCCTTCGTTTTTCATGGGTTATGAAGGAAAACTTCATGAGTTGGAAAAGCAAATGAAGTAGGAATGAAGCAAAATGTTAACACCCGTATTTCTCGTTTCATCGTCATGAATCCAGAGCCTCATAATACAGAATAAGCAATTCAACATGCACGTGTTACAATCCAGACTGACTAAAACCAAGCTGCAGTTAGAGGCAGAACAAGGTAAACATAACAACAACATATATTTGTGAAAACTACTTACTGAATGCAGAGTTCGTATATATAGGAGATAAGACACGGCTCTATTTTTCTTTGCGTTTGCTGCTAATCTTTGTTCTACGCCGACTGCGCGGGTGCTTCCGGCTCAGCCGCGCCTGCATCCGCCGGTGGCTCCGACGCGGCCTCCGCAGCCTCGTTCTTCTTGGTCTGCGCCGTCTGGATGAGGTGGTTGTAGCTGCCCTTCTCCTTGAACAGCTGCGAGAAATGGATCTTGCAGTAGAGGATCCCGTTAAGCGCGGCGTAGGAGGAGGTGGTCAGGATGCAGCCCCCGTGCGAGCATTTGAAGCAGCTCTTGTGGTACGACTCGCCTTCCAACGTCATCTGAACAAGAAGATCACGCGTGCCAAAATTAGCATTAGTCGTGGTGATTGATTTGGTCAGATAATTGTGTGCTACTGTTTGCCAGAGTTACAGAACAGCATTCCTGTACCTTCTCCAATGGATACACGGTTTTCTGGCAGGCTGCGCATTTATCTTGAGTTCCAGAGAATGCAGATGATAGCTTGCTCGGAGCCTTTGCCTGCAGAGGTTTTCGAATTGGCATCATGCATAAAGTAGTCAACTATTACTGATGATGACAGGACCACTAAGTTTTAGAACTTGTCAGATTGGAATCATCTGTTTCGAAGATTTCAGGAACCGTACCTGGTCGTTCTTGGTTGAAGATGCTCCACCTGAGTAGCACAACGGAAGGGTCAGAATGTTTGATATGTGTAACATTCAGAAGAAGACAAATGTGCAGTAATTTTTTTTACAGATTGAGGTACAAAACGCCCCGGTTCATTGAATCAGGAGTAGGACCAGAGTGCAACGTTACAGCAGTAGACAAGTTGATGCGCTGTAGATTACCTTGGAATTTCTTGGAGAAGGTCCCTGTCTCCTTGAAGAGCTGTTCAAAGTGCGTCTTGCAGTACAGGACACCGTCCATGGAAGAGTAGCTGCTAATCTAGAGGAGAACGCATGCAGAAAGGAAAATGAGCCCACATTTCTACATTTGCATCTGTCGAGATGAATGAATCAAATAAAACTAATAAAGCAAAGCTTCATTTCTTTGGACGGAAATGAGCAGCGCATTGCCGCACATCACAAGAAGGCGATCGAATGCGCATGAGGAGTTGATCAGGGCATGCATGCGTACCGAGAGGGTGCCCTTGCAGTGGCTGCACTTGAAGCATGTCTTGTGGTAAGAGACGCCGTCGGCGGTGAGGAGGTCGATGAAGTGGACCGTCTTGTCGCAGGTTTTGCACTTGGCCTGCGTGCCGGTGAAAGACATGGCGATCGAGCTCTGCGCTTGCACCTGCACCTGCCAAGACTCCGGCCTGGATCAAACCGACGCCCGTCTGGCTAGCCGCTGCTCGTGCTGGCGGTCCCCGGCCGGCAGGCAACAACAACCGATGAGCAAACGGGCGCGGACGGAGCAGAGGAAACGCTCGCTCGCTCGCGATTCGGGGAAGGAAGGAAGAAGCAGAGGTTGACGTCTCGGGAGCGAGACGGATGCTCTTTAAAGGACAGGGCGTGAGCTCGGGAGCAAAGATAGGAGGCGCGAGGGCTCTAAACCGCACAGACAAATTCAGGGAGCGGTGGCGACGCCCCTCCCGTGTCCGGCCTCGGCGTCTCCGCGGTCTGTCTGTCCCGGCCCTTCTCCTATTTCCCCGGGCGTGTCTGGATGGACGCGACGCTCGTTCCTCTGAATGTTGTGCGAGCCACGAACAGGACGTGGCGAGATGTTGCCCATTTCGGCTGCCACCGCCCACCGTCGTGTTAGGCAGTTCTTCTTCCCGTTGTTATTTTACTTTTTGCTTCAATAAAAAGGGAGAGCGCTGCAGCGAGCAAAGGGGCCCAGAAATTCATAAATGGACCTTACAGCCCAGTATTGTTTATGGGCCTTAAACAAACTCTCGATGGGCTTGTGCTGTGCAGAAAATACCGGGCGGCCCAGCGAACCACGGGCTGTGGCGCTGCGCCGAACTGCGGAGCATTGATGTGGACGGAAACTAAGGGGGCGTCCTAGGGTCCGATCGACCGGACAGTAACCCCGCGCCGCTAATCTTTCCCGCCCGCCCGCGCGCCGCTAATTTTTCCCGCCTGCCCGCGCTCGCAGTCGCTCTCGCTAGCGCGCGCAAAGTAGAGGGCGTTAGCGCATGCTGACGGATCTCTAGAGCCACCGATTAATTTAAGTAGATAAGGGCCCACCTCTCTCACGTCGTTCCCAAAAAAAAATTTCAACGAACTAAAAAAGTCATAACAGTTAAGCCAATCATCCAAATAAAAATCTAATTGCACCGTCGTATTCCTTACCATAGATCATTCAAAACAAGATCTCATAAGGATATATTCAGATAATTTTTTAAAAAAACATTTATCTCATGAAGATAGAACCTTTTTTTTTAATTGAAGAGACAATGTCGTAGGTTCAGATAAAAATGTTCCTTCTTTGTAAGAATAATGTTCTCGGTTTAGAATAACAGTATTTTGTACATAAAATTGGTATTATAATATACATAAAAATAAATAAATACATAACACAAATAAATAATAATAAAATCTAGAGCAAAGCATAAGAAAAAATAAAAATATATAATAGAGAAAAAATTAAAAGAACATCACATGCATCATAAAATATACAATAGAACACCGCATGTATACTAAGTGAACATCACTAACGACATCATAAAACATCATTAAATACATTATAGAACATCGCATATATATTATGTGAACGTCACTAAATACATCATATAACATTACATGTATACTAAGTGAACATCACAATAAACATCATAGAACATCATATGTATACTACGAGAACATCACAAAAAAACATCCTAGAACATCACCTGTATACTACGAGAACACCACATGTATATTACGCGAACATCGCAAAATACATCATAGAACATTACATGTATACCACGTGAACATTAAAACATCACATGTATAACACGTAAACATAAAAAACATAGAACATCACATTATACTACATGAACATAAAAAAACAACATAGAACATCATAAGAAAAGAAAAAGAAATAAAAGAAAGGTAAAAAATATAAAAAAATGAAAATAATAATAAACACATAAAAAGAAAATAAAAAATGAATGATGCACGAAAAAGAAAGAAAGGAAAAAAAGAAAAAGAATAAAGAAAGATAAAAAATAAAAAACATGAATCAAAGAAAAACATAATTAGAAAAGAGAAACAAGGAAAATAATTGAAAAGAGAAAATGAGATAGCTAAGAAAAACATAAATATAAAAAGAAAAAAGAGAAGCTAAATATCAACCTACCGAGAGTTAAGAAAAAAAGATAGGAAAAGAAAGAGAGAGTTAAGCAAAAGAATCGCCTCCTTTGCTGGACCGTACCTTGCTACGTGCCTTCGCAACAGATCGCGCTCGACTCAGTCGGAAAAAAAAAAGAATCGCACTCGACTGGCTGGGCCGCGCAAGATAATGGGCCGCTCGGGTGAAATCGATGGTCATCGGCGCGCGGGAAGATTCCCGGCATCGGCGCACGAGAAGATTTTCGGGTCATCGGCGCGCTGCTCCCGTCCGATCGTTCCGACGGGAAGATTCCGGAAACTAAGGGCTTGTTTGTTTAAAAAAAATTGCTAACGTTAAAATGAATAGTCCAGATATTAAACTGGATTTTAATTTAAAAGTTAAAAGGCTTACTTCTAAGGAAATATACTAAAACCTAAGAAGCACGTTGGTAGATGCTTTTGTGAATTTTGGTGTGCCGAGAAACTAAAAATTTATTACAAAGTCAATAAAAAAACAAACAGCCAGAAGTCACAAAGGTAGCTTTTGAGCTAAGGGACCAAAAGTTGCAGGCTTGCAACTCAAACAAACGGACCCTAAGACTTTCTTTGGTGGGGTTTCGGCTTCTTCGTAAACGGTAAAACCAGATAAGCCACATTTTTTAGGCTTCGTTTTTTAGGCCATTTCAATTTCATCGTTTTTTTATTATTATTTTTGTTTTTCAAGCTGTTTTCACATGTTTAGCATAGCTTCTGTTTAAGCCGGTGAGGAATTCTCAACAAAAGTCCTACTAAAAGGGCATAAGGACTATCCAAATTATAAGACTTTTTGGTTTTTTAGATATATTATTTATTTTATTGCAAATAAAAGCTATGTATCTAGAAAAGTCAAAATGTCTTGTAATTTAGAATGGAGAGAGTATTAATTTAGGGATTATTTGGTGAGGCTTCACCTTGCTTTGGAACCAACTCTTGGGCTACCGTGCAGAATTGTAGCACACTGTAGCACCGAGAGAAATGGCTTAGGTCCTTGCAGATTGTCCTGGGAGAGAGGAGCCTCTAAGGACCTGTTTGGCAGGGTGTCGGTGGATCCGGCTCCCGCCCCTGTCGGCCTCCCAGGGGCCGATAGGTGCCAGGCTGAGCCGGAGCCACGGAGCCCGAAAAACGAGCTCCGCCGGCTCCGCCTGCGTCCGTGAGAGAGTTAAAGGATGAGAGAGAAAAACGGCTCCGGTGCCTGTCGGCTCGTGGGCGGTGGGTCCGTGAGAAAGTTAAAGGAGGAGAGAGAAAAACGGCTCCGGTGCCTGTCGGCCCGTGGGAGGCCGACAGGGGCGAAAAGCAGGGGCCGGAGCCAGAGCCCGCAGGAGCCCTGCCAAACAGGTCCTAAAGCCTCGTTTCTTTGGCAGTGTTTCTGTTGTGGCATCTGCACCAATTTAATTAAAAGTTCTACCAATGAGCACATACAAGAATGGCTTTTGAAGCCAAAATCAAAGCAAAAATGGTGAAAGCCAAAGCTGTTTTTTGGGTAGAAGCCAAAGCCACCGAAATGTTACTCCTTCCATTCCAAATTATAAGTTATTCTAAGTTTTTTTTAGAGTCAAAACATCTTAAGTTTGACCAAATTATAGATAGAATTACAAAAATTTATGACATCTAATAGGTGTACTATAAAAATATAATTACTCCTGTACCAAATAAAAAAATCTAATGATAATTATTTGGATACTACTATTATGGAACGCTTTGGTTACCTTGGGATTGGTACCAATACAATACCTAACTTATAGATGGAGGTAACTTTTCACAACGGATCGAAGCAATCGTATACCCGGCCCGGATTTGCTAGCTCGTCATGCATTATCTCGGTAGAAACGGCGAAGCAGAGAGAAACACTCGCAGTTAATTCAAGCGCGATGCTGTGTGAAGAGTACTAGTAGCAGTTCAGTTTAGAGATATCACATCTACGGATCTACTTGAAGGTAGTTTATACTAGGCCAATCAAATAAAGAAGTTCTACGGATCGATTTAACTGAAAGTAAATGAGATATCGTAAAAGAAGACGACGCGGACAACAATCAGAGCACAAGGCATATCGACCAGCCTGACGACGGGGCAAAGAGACTTTTTGCGTTCGTCATTCTTTAATCCTCGTACAAGTCCTTTCCATGATAAAAACGCCTTACCACACTCGGTACAGGAAGCTGCTATTAGTGCTTTAAAATATTATTAATAATATACCAAGGTACTTAGTAAGAGGCAGCCACGTTTGCCTTGCATAGCAGACAGCTTGTGGTGTGTGGCCTTTGGTCTAACGTAAGTCACGTAACCGTTAGTAACAGTTGTGTTACTTTTCTGGGAATCTTCTGGGTCGTCATGTCCTCGTCCAAATGCAGGCAAAAGTCGTTCAATTTTTATTTTATTTTTTTTGCCGACGGGTAGAACTGAACTGTCTGGCATGGCTCGTACCTGGTTTCTGTTCTCAGTGATTCGGTGAGAGGTACATACCACCTGGTACTTTTGTAAGTACGCCAAGGTAGTAGTTGACATGGACAAAGCAAAGACTGCAGGAGTAGTGTATATATATTGGAACTGGTTGAATCACAGTATCACACTGGCCAATGACTGCAAGCAGCAGGCGGCACTCATTCCACCTACTGATGTTGAACCTCTGTCCGTTTCAATGATTACTAGTATGATAATGAGCTTTTGTTCACCGTAAACGTTCTGCGCATGATCACTAATTAAGAAATACGGAGTACTAATACTACTCTAGGTGGCCTATAGAGTGTAATAATATATAGTTCAGGGCAGGTTTTTTATTTATTGAAGAATTCAAAACCATCCCATGCATGTTACGTTGGCCGTTCTAGTATATATATATGTCGTCTCAGAGAGAATTGTCGTAGTTTGTTTGGTAATGACGGCTCTTACCTACCCTAAGATGAAATACAGTATATATACAGGAGTTGTTGAGAGGATAAACAGATTCCTAGTAGTCAAGTCAGCTCTTCCATCCAAATC